AACACAGCACATTGTCTCTCCTGTTCTGAATGACTGTTACAAGAGATGGAGCCCAACATCATGGACCGGATGAACTCAGCAGCTTTATAGGGATTGGTCCATGCACTAAGGAATGATATCTCTCTCTTTGTGTGTGTGGATGTGTGTATATATATATATATATATACACATATATATACATATATATACATATATATATGAGACAACAATGATGGTATATTGAAAAATGTTTGATCTGACCATGACATGAATGGTATGGAATAAGGGGTGGATACTGTCCTGGATTCAGGAGTAGCAGTCATTTTTTTCCTTCTTAGTAGCTGGTGCAGTGCTGTGTTTCTGACTTTCAGCCTGGGAACAGCACTGGTAACACCGATGTTTTTAGGTGTTGCTCAGTAATATTTATTCTGACCAAGGACTTTCTGAGTCTCATGCTCTGCCATGGAGGAGGGGAAGCCAGGAGGAAGCAGAGACAGGACACCTGACCCAAACTAGCCAAAGAGGTATTCCATACCATAGCATATCATGCCCAGGATATAAACTAGGGCAGTTACCCAGAAGGGCTAGATCACTGCTTGGGTCAGGCTGGGTATCGGTCAGCGGGTGGTGAGCGGTTGTATTCTCTTATCATTACTACTATTGGTGGTAGCAGTAGTGGGTTTGTGTTATACCTTAGTTACTGGACTGTTCTTATGCCAACCTGTGGGAGTTACATTCTTTCCATTCTCCTCCCCATCCCTCTGGGGGGGGGGGGGGGAGTGAGCCAGCGACTGCATGGTTCTGAGCTACCAGCTGGGCTTAAACCAAGACAATAATACAACAATTTTTTTAATACACTCCTAGTTTTGAATTTTAATTTTAATCTTTAAAGATTTCTACTATAATTTCTATTTTACTGTCTTATTTTTTCCAATTTCCAAGTATGTTTTCTGGATTGGAAAAAGGTATTTTGTGAAGTCCATATATCTACCTTAACCACACAAGATATTGTTAGAAAACATACTCAACATACTTCATTTTTTTATATATCTAGTAAGTAGATTTATCTTCACATACCTTTACCAATATGTCCTTGACGACTTGACTGCTATCATTGTGTACACTAATGTAACTGGAAAATGTCTCTCCCAGAAATATATTTCTGTGTTACAAAAAAAAAAAAAAGCGCAGTAACAGTTATTTAAAAAAATACAGAATATTTCACTGAAGCCCCTTTAAGTTCTAATGAAATATACACACACACATATTCACGTATCTTTGCCATACTTCTAAAAGTCATCCTTCTAAGACAAACAGCTTCAGAAAAGAAAAAATCAAGACTTTTTTTCTAGATAAAAATCTCAGAAGAATAGGATAGCTTACAGTGCCCACAAAAATCACTGTAGAAAACTCTCAGTGTCGGATATGGTTTATACTACTGTATTAAATTAATAATTCACCTACAGCTGCAAATTTCTTTCAATTTTCAATCCTTATTATATTCAGAGTCAGGCTATGGACAAGAAACATCAGGTAGCACCAATTATGTATTATGTCACATTATAAATCAAGCCATAGATTTTTTTTAAGATGATTGACCATCTCACTGCATAACAACAACGTTCAAAAAGAAAGAAAAGTAATAAACAAGTTATCATCAAATAAATCCTAAATCTTACATGTTACAGTTACAATAATTCATTCTTACCCAAAATTTTGAGGCAAAGTCAGCATTTCTCCTAGCATCAAAGTTTCTGCTCCCTTTACAGTAGACGGATCATCTTTCATGAGCTGGTTAAAGAGAATACCTGTAGAAATACCAAATTGCTAGTATCTAAACATTTGCTAACTCTAAACCTTTGTTTACATTTATGACATTTAATCACATATTGCAATTTATTTCAGACATACTCCTTTTACAACCAAATTGTTTAGGGAAGAAATACATATCTATAGGCCCAACTAGAAATTATAACTTACTTTCAGGCACTTGTGTCCAACAAGTCATTCAGTGTATCTACTGAATGGCACTATCCCAAAGGCTAATCTCAAATTAACGTTAAACTTTAAGGGAAAACTTGGAGGTGTTGTTCAATGAGAAAATGAACACGAGCTTGCAGTGTGCGCTTGCAACCCAGAAAGCCAACCGTATCCTGGGCTGCATCAAAAGGGGCGTGACCAGCAGGACAAAGGAGATGATCCTGCCCCTCTGCTCTCATGAGACCTCACTTGGAGTATTGTGTGCAGTTCTGGTGTCCTCAACATAAAATGGACATAGAGCTGTTGGAGCAAGTCCAGAGGAGGGACACGAGGATGATCAGGGGACTGGAGCACCTCCCCTATGAAGATAGGCTGAGAAAGTTGGGACTGTTCATCCTGGAGAAGGCTGCATGGAGATCTCATAGCAGCCTTCCAGTATCTGAAGGGGATCTACAGGGATGCTGAGGAGGGACTCTTCATTAGGGACTGTAGTGATAGGACAAGGGGTAATGGGTTAAAACTTAAACAGGGGAAGTTTAGATTGGATATAAGGAAGAAGTTTTCTACTGTAAGGGTGGTGAGGCAGTGGAATGGGTTGCCCAAGGAAGCTGTGAATGCTCCATCCCTGGCAGTGTTCAAGGCCAGGCTGGACAGAGCCTTGGGTGACATGGTTTAGTGTGAGGTGTCCCTGCCCACGGCAGAGGGGTTGGAACTTGCTGATCTTAAGATCCTTTCCAACCCTAACTATTTTATGATTCTAAATTCTGCCTGAGCAAAGCACATTATATAACAGAACTAATCAACCCCACTTACATTCTTCCCCTACTTGCTCTGCACTTCCAAACAATCTCCTTTTCTTGAATCTTTTATTTGCCTCTTATACACAGCTTCTAGATAGCAGCTGGGGGACAACCCAGGGATTTCCGATTTATGACTGTATGCCAAGCATAACACAATTCAAAGTAGTGTTTCTTGAAAGTTATTTTCAATTGAACATTCCTGTGTTGATTCTAATTACTGAGGCGTTTTCTCCACAGAAAGATGACAGTCACACCAAACTTCCCTACAATTACACATTTCTCATTCACAAGCACCTTCTGTCTTGTGCGTTAAATTACTCAGACTTCGAGATTATGTTTGCAACAACATCACCAAGCTTTCAAAGTTGCAGGTGAAGAGTTGTAGAGTGAGTGCACTTTGGTATCTTCCTATAGCCATTACCAAACACCAAACACCAAACATATTGCTGTTTCAGATTACTGTCTATGGGAGTTATAATACTCCTCTGACATCTAAGTCTCAGATGCTCACCTTGCATAAACTTGCTAATATGCACGTAATAATCAGTCAGTACAAAAGACATACCTGGCAAATCTCTCTCTTCACAAGTCACTGGAATATTAGTGAATAAAGTAGGTTTGGTTAGCCTCATCACTGCAAAAATAAAGAAATAAACCACAAGTCAATAAAAAAAGTATTTTTAAATTTTATTTTCGAAGTACAGTTTTGTCTTGCTCTCCACCAAAAAAACCCACAACCATCAAATCTTAGTCTGATAAAGGGTAACAACTTTTGGGATCAATCACCTGGTCTTTTCCAATATAACGAACTCCATGACACTCTGACAGTAAAGAGCTCTGGTGATGCCATTGATCCCTCTTGCTTTATTCCTCTGATTTAATTATTTTGATATGCACTTGTATGTAGTGATCTGTACTGGTTCACAAGAATGTGCACCTTGAATCCTGTGTTCAGTTCCGGGCCCTTCACTACAAGAAAGACATTGAGATGCTGACACACACCCAGAAAAGGGAAAGGAAGCTGGTGAAGTGTCTGGAGCATAAGTCTGATGCAGAGCAGCTGAGGGAACTAGAGTTGTTTAGCCTGGAGAACAGAAAGTTCAGGGGGGACCTTACTGCTCTCCTTACAACTGCCTGACAGGAGATTGTAGCAAGGTAAGGATCAGTCTCTTCTCATAAGTAACAAGTGACAGGACAAGAGGTAAGGGCCTCAAGGCATGCCTGGGAAGGTTTAGACTGGATATTAGAAAAAATTTCCTCACAGAGACGGTGGTCAGGCACTGCAGCAGGCTGCCCAGGGCAGTGGTGGAGTACCACTCCCTGAAGTGTTCCAACACTGTGTAGATGAGGCCCTCAGTGATACAGTTCAGTGGTGGTCTTGAAAGTTTGGAGGTAATGGTCAGACTTAATGATCTTAAAGGTCTTTTACAACCTAGCTGATTCTATAATTCTGTAATTTTTATTCACATACAAGCCAACCCAAAGCAGCAGAAAGCTGACAGCTACCACTGAACAGTCACACCAACCTGTCTGTTTAGTAAGATGTTTGTTTAGCTCTTCTGTCAGTATAATTGAATAAGTGTAGTGAGATTGTATTATTGGGAGTTACCTAATATTATTCAAATTTACAGTAGCCCGTAGAAACTAGTATTTGCTGCCTGTTTCTAAAGGAACTGTAAGAGATCAAGTTTAGTCTCATTTAACATGATATATAAATATATCATGTAATGAAGTCAAAGCGCAAATTAAGATACGCAGATGATCATACTTAATACGACTACTAAATTAATTAGAAAATACTCTTTGCAGGACAACGTCTCATATCTGTTCTTCTACTATCCTGGACACAAAACACAACATTAAATAAAACTTGAATCACGCTGCATTCTACTCCATTATATCTTTCAATATGCTGATGTACAAAGAGACTTTGTTAATATTAGCGTTAAGATCAGAAGAATAATTTCAGTGAAATGACTTGGCTATACAAGCTTCAAAGCTAATCATGACCTGAAGTTACTCTAGACAGCACTTTACATCAATTTTGCTCAGTGGTAATACCAAATGTCAAAAACACCGAAATGTCAATATAAGACTTCCTTACTGTTCAAAGTTTAGAAATACATGTCAATGATCCACACTGAGCAACATCCTTAATTTTAAACTACATGAAGATATGTAATGCCTATAATAATGTAATTATTCTGACATAACAATGTCATCAAAAGAAAAAGGTAAGTGAAAGTCCAGGGGTATTTTATTTAGTTTTTACACAGAGGGGTGAAATGCTTACATACACTTTTATTCCATCAATGTTAATGATAACAATCTACAAATACCATTCATTTTCCTCCTCTTGCAGATGCCACAGACCTTGACCTCCAGCTATAGCAAAATTATCTGGAATTAGTAGGGGTGCCTAACGGAAATACATACTATTGCAGTTACACTGATCGCAGTTTACCTACTTTACTCACCCTGCAACTTGGCAGGGACAGTGTTGCCTTGAAATAAATTTATTTCATAAAATATTTCAAAGAATAAGCTTGTTCTTTCAGGTGAAAAAAAAGTTATGCTGAATTCTGCCTTTCACTAACATAAAATACATTTAAAGCCTCAGAGGCCTTTATCTTCCACAATGACAACAAACACATTTTCACAGATGGAAGTGTCCCACTTCTTAATTTCCTGACCTGTAGCTGGAAGTCAGTGCTTTCTTGTTCCCCAGTATAATTACAGACAAAAGACCAGAAACATCCAGGGAAAGTGAGGGGCAGAATCTTATTACCGAAGTCATAACTAGCAAGTGCTAAGTTGTTACTAAAGCAGCTTACACATGAATAGAAATAAGTCTGATTTCTTATGAGAACTATGCTTCCATTGAAGAGCCCACACACACTACTTTCAGGAAATAATCAGATCTTGAAAGTCTCCATGTCAAAAATAATTACAGATCCTTACAACAATTATAGCAACTCACTTAAAATTATTCTCCCTTCTCTTAACTTCCAAGAAGCACAGTGAGGATGTACTTTGCTTGACTGAAATTATCTGACACAGCTTGCCATAATAGTCTGGAGTTTTTATTTTTTGTCCGTTAGACCACCAATGTAGAGAAAAGCTATAAAATGCAGTACTAAGCCAAGCAGAAACTTACTCATCTTAGTAAATAATTATTACAGCTAAAAAAACTGTAGAAAAGTAATATTCAGCAGTTTTCTGTTCATTAATTCATCAGCTGTTCTAAAGCTTGTATAACCTAAGCTGCTTAAAAACTCTAGCACTTCAAATTGCAATTTTATCTCCACCTATCAATTACAAACTAAATATAATTCCAAACTTATGTACAAGTAAATTCATCTTATCGGTAAGGCTTAGCTTTTCCCTAAGAATATTTCTAACATATTCACAGTATAATATATCACAGAAAATCCATATCTGTCCCACAGATCTTTGGATAGTAGCGTTGCAAGATGGCAATTCATTCTGCTTGATAATCCTATTCAGCTTTACCCAGATGTCCTCCAAATTCTGATTATTACAAATAGACTCTTCAATTACCCACTTTGCTCTGTAAAATGCATGCAGTTTTAGTCTTTCTAAATTATTTTGCAGTTCTTGAGATAAAGGAAGGATCTTTTCTTTAAGCTTAGGGCTAGGGAGAGAGACACTCCAAGACCTTTTCAATTTTTGTTTTCTGTTAGGTGGTGGGTCTCCTTGATTATCCAAGTTAATTAGTCTGTGAACAGTTTGTGCTTGCATTAAAGTCTGCCCGTGTTTCACGTCAGACTGAAACTCAAGGAGGTATTTTGTGCAGTCACAATCAGGAGCTCCTGTAACATACTCTGAAGGTGTAGAAAGCTGTTTCAATTCTTCTGCTTCCTCACAAGAAATAACAGGTGGCTGCTTTTTTGGTTTGAAGGGAAGTCTGTATAAATCATTTGGAAACCAGGGTGTAAATCTTGGTAACCGACGAATGGGAAACTCCTTCACTGCTGCTTCTGCAAAGTTCTGCAGTTTTACTAGATCTCTCTGATATGGTCGATAATGCAAGACCACTTCCATGCTTGTACAGGAGGAATCCAGTTATTCTTAAGAAAGGGAACGGTTTCTTGATTAGGATTCTCAAATCTAGACTGAAACATCTTATTTATAAGCACTTGCTTGCCCCGTGCTGCAAAGATCAGTGGAAAACAGGACCTAAAGCAGAAGTATTATAAAAAAATAAGATACTACCATATTATGAAAAATACTGCTAGGATATTTTACAAAAAAAACAAAACAAAAACAAAACCCAAATAAACCAACCAACCAACCAAAAAAGAAAAAACACAACCCAAACCAAAAAAACCACAACACAAAAACCCCAAAGTTATGTTGTAAAAATAAGCAAGATATGTATCAGAATATTCTACTTTATCCAGGCTGAACATTAGCAGCTGTACACCACCATTACCATGTAACTTCAGTATGCTGAACATTACCTGTATGCTGAACATTACCTCTATGCACACAGTTTACTCAACACTGACCTTCCCAAGAGTATTCTTTTACTGTCAATATCTCATTCTTCCTGTCCATTTGTCATTACTCTTCCTGTATTACTGTGATGTATATTAAAAGACACAGAATTACTGGTGTCTATTTTTTTAAATTTACCTTTTTTTTTTTCCTAAGTGCTTTCCTCCTACACTTCAACATTTAAGCAAGGGCATATAAAGCAACTAGAATGTGCTACAAAAACCCTTTCTGAAATAGTACTGATTGATATATCAGTTTTCACAGTAACCAGTTAAAAGGGAAGTTCTTTAGGCAAATTAAAGTTGCCTGCTTCCATTTCATATCAGAACTACACATTTAGTTATAGTCTAAGGGCTTCCGAGCAATACATGCAACCATACTTTCAGTCCTTAACTTAAAGACCTGATACTTCCTAAATTTATCAGACTTTTGGAATAGTAATAAGCCCTTAAAGACTTTATACTTTCATACATCATTGCTTTCTTTCATACAAAGATTATAGTAAGGTCCAGGGGTGTGGGGAGGAGGGATGGGGGGACAGAACATGGCCCTACAAATGCTACTGTAGAACTTAACATGCACTCTCTTGCTCTCCCATCCTTGTCCCGCCCAACAAGTTTGCAATCATGTTGATACCTTTCTCACTGCTTTTGCAAAATCAGTCCTGAGCCCACACCAATTTTCACACAGGACAAAGGATTACGCTGATTTCTTACAAAGGCAAAATTACCTGTCATATAACTCTTTGCTTTGAATTAATTACTATTGAAATGTGTTTGTAATGTCAGCTGATAACATTCTCAGGGTTTTGGCTTCAATGTGTGTGTGTATTCATATATTCAAAAAAGGCCTTGTTAATCTTTGAATTAGGAGGTGATCCTGCCCCTCTACTCTGCTCTCCTGAGACCTCACTTGGAGTATTGTGTACAGTCCTGGTGTCCTCAACATAAAAAGGACATGGAACTGTTGGAACAAGTCCAGAGGAGGGACACGAGGATGATCAGGGGACTGGAGCACCTCCCATGTGAAGACAGGCTGAGAAAGTTGGGGCTGTTCAGCCTGGAGAAGAGAAGGCTGCGTGGAGGCCTTATAGCAGCCTTCCAGTATCTGAAGGGGATCTACAGGGATGCTGGGGAGGGACTCTTCATTAGGGACTGTAGTGATAGGACAAGGGGTAATGGGTTAAAACTTAAACAGGGGAAGTTTAGATTGGATATAAGGAAGAAGTTCTTTACTGTGAAGGTGGTGAAGCACTGGAATGTGTTGCCCAGGGAAGCTGTGAATGCTCCATCCCCGGCAGTGTTCAAGGCCAGATTGGACAGAGCCTTGGGTGACATGGTTTAGTGTGAGGTGTCCCTGCTCATGGCAGGGGGGTTGGAACTAGATGATCTTAAGGTCCTTTCCAACCCTAACTATTCTATGATTCTATGGTTATTAACTTACAGTGACATGCAGACACCATTAAAAGCCTCTCTCCAGGAGTACTGCAAAACTCGTAAATGGACATAAGATGAGCTCTGAAATAATGTACACAGCTGCATTAATTCATCTAAGCAGCCACACTGATTCAGAATGCTCACAGAACTGAGATTTTAACCAACTATTTATTACTCCTACTTAACAAGCAGCACCTATTTGTAAATAAGAATAGTTAAAAATATTATGTCGACTGAGATGACGTTAAAGTAGATCTAGACTCCTCAGAATTTCTGTTGCTGACTTACTGGTACCCAAAATGCCAGCAGAAATTAACAAATTGTTTACAGGGCTCTCTTGATTTCTGTATGAATTCTGCAAAATATGTGAGACATTATTTTTATTTCTGCTATTTGTGATTCCTGAATCAAGGATGCAAGCCCTGTAGTGGTGCATTAAGTATGAGATTAAAGGGGCAAAACCATTAAGGGGGTGAGGGGATGACACCAAGCAAGCAAAAGTGACAGCAGGGAACTGGAAATTAAACCAGTATTTTACTGTGAGGGTGCTGTGGCGCTGGCACAGGCTGCCCAGAGGATCTGTGGCTGCCCCATACCTGGCAATGTCCACGGCCAGGCTGGATGGGGCCTGGAGTGACCTGGTCCAGTGGAAGCTGGGCCTGCCCACGGCAGGGGGGGGCTGGAACTAGATGATCTTAAGGTCCTTTCCAACCCCTAACTATTCTATGATTTTTGGTTGGTTTTTTTGTGTTTTTTTTGTTCCCTGTAACTGCTGAGAACTTTGTGTAAAATGCAAATACATCGCACGACTTCGATGACCCCGCCACGCAAGACGAACACACACAATAGCTCGCCACCGCACCTCCGCCTCTTTTTCACCCTCGGCCACTTCCCGCCCTGTGCCCTCCTGCCGGCCTGCTCCCTCCTTCGCCTTCTTTCTCGGAGGAAAAGAATCGGGCCCCCCTCCGAAGCGGACGGCTTGTTTTATGACCACAGCCCATGCCTCCCTGCTGCCCCCTGAGCAGAGCCCGGCCGCCTCGCCTCGCTTCTTAGAGCCAGCCCCAGAGCAACGAGTGGGCCGAGGGCAGGGCTGCAGCCAGGGAGGGCGGCTGGGCTTCGGTGGGCCGCGCTGCAGTACCTTTCAGAGCCAGCAAATGCTCCTGCTTGGGCTGGTTAACGTCCATGGTGCCAGCCTTCACGCCGACGGGCCAAAACGCTGCTGGTGGCGGTAAACAAAAACGCTCGGAGGAGAAAGCCAAGATGAGCCCGCCTCCACTGTCCCTGCGCTGTGAATACCGCCGAGCCCGAACACGGCTGTCCCATAATGCAGCTCGACGCCGCCGCAGCAGGAGGAAACTACAGCCCCCAGAAGGCCCTGACAGGGCAGGGACGGCCGTCGCTAGTCCGCGCGGGGCTGTCTGGCCCCTTCCTGCTACGGGTCGCTGTACTCTGCCCGCCTACAAGATGGCGGCATTAAGTGCAAACAGGATTGTGGCTGGTACTGGCCCGGACGGTAGCCGGGGGTCTGGGAGCAGCTGTCGCGGCCCAGCTGGTGCCGCAGTGAAGGTGAGAAAGGTGGCTCGGCCCTTCACGTCGTCTGGCTTAGCTGCCTGCTGCGGCAGGACAGGCTGTAGTGGCTGGGGTTGCGCTGTCCCTGGCCCAGCTGGGGAAGGGGTGGTGTGGGGTCTCCGGGGCAGGAGGAGTCCCCTGAAGCGGCAGGGCGCGGTTTGGGCCGGGCTGAGCAGGGAGGCTGCTTTGGAGGCCCTTTCCCCGCCCCGATGGCGCAGAGCCGTGCTGCCGTAGGATGTTTCCGACAGGGCTGCGAGGCGAGAGGCCTCAGTGTGAGGGGTGACTGCCTCAGTGGGGAGCAGTTTCGGAGGAAACGTGATGCCTGGGCTGCCGAAGGTGATGAGTTGTTGTCCGATGGATTATATTTTTTTCGGGGGGTTAGGGTTTGTTTTTTTTTTTCGCTTGGTTGTTTTTTTTGGTGGGTTTTTGATTGTTTCTTTTATTGTTTTGTTTGGTTTTGTGATGGGTTTTTTGTGTGTGTATTTGGTTTTTTTGTTTGTTTTTTTTTTGTTTGTTTTTTTCTAAATGACGATTAATTTTACTTTTTATTAGTGGTTTAAGATGTTCCGGCCCCCTGCTGTTTGTTCCTGCTACCTCGATGCTGCACAATTGTAGCTTCATAAATGGCTAACTTGGTATGACTGACATTTTATGTGCATCAGCTATGAATGGAAATTTTCTCCACCAGCTGATAGTCTGCTTTGGCAGGGTCTTGCCCTCCATCTCCTTTTCCTGTGAGAATGTTTCTGCTTACTTAGTTGTGCTGCTTGAGCAGTGGGCTTTTCTTGTGGCACTGTATTAAATGAAGTGGGCAAGAACTAGTAGTGATCAGGTGGGATGCTGAAGAGTTAGAATCTTCTGTTCATGTGTATCTTTTAAATAATTCTTATGATCATTATTTGTGTGTACAAAGCAAAATTAATGGCTCTGCCTACTTGCTGTGGTTGCAGGAACTTCTGTAAAATAAGCTGTGTCATATGGCTTACTGCATTACGTTTTGCTTTTTTCATCAGCTCAAAAGCAAATAAGATCTCTCTTTTAAATTGTAGGTTCTTGAGTGCGGGGTCTGTGAAGATGTATTTTCTTTGCAAGGTGACAAAGTTCCCCGGCTGCTTTTGTGTGGCCATACTGTCTGCCATGACTGTCTTACCCGGCTTCCTCTTCATGGCAGAGCAGTTCGTTGTCCATTTGATCGACAAGTTACTGAACTAGGTAAGAAAATGTATGTCTAAAGTTCTTAAAACCTGTGAGCCAAGGATATCTGGAAGATAAAGCTATGTATAGATTCTTAGTGCTCCACTTAGTCATAACATTTCTGAATAATGAATGTGCAGTGTTCCTTTTTGTTCAGAGAAGCTCATACCACTGTTGAGCAGTAGTAAAATAGATACCTTACAAAAAGAAAGTCAAAATTTGATCTTTTTGAACCTGGTCTTGCAAGCTTTTAAACCTCAAAGTCTTTTTGTACACCTGTATTTACAAAGGGACTACTCTATTTTACATTAGTGTCTAAGGGTTCCTGAATGGATGTTAGTTTCCTGTTGTTTTAAAAACTAAATAGACCATGCAATTAAATAGGTAATTTCTTTGACAAACAGATTTGTCTGGGTTCATGAAGAAGTGATAACAAAGATGTTTTTTAAAATGTCAAGTAATTCTATATATGCAGTAACTGATAGTGGCAGGCTGTCAGCAGGAATTCCCCTATTGTAAGAGTGTCTGCAGACAGTATTCAAAAAAATAAGATATAGCTTTTCCCAATCATGAAAGTTTATTTTATCCAGAAGATAGTATGTTCTTACAGTTCCTTCAAAATAGGAATTAGCTATTCAACATGGGGTTACAGAGAAGACAAGTTATCAGAAGAATTTGAACTGAGAAGAATTTGTTAATAGAACTGGCTCCAGCAGTTTTGGATATCACAGGGAAAAAAGGTATTGGAAGGAGGGGAATACTTGGACAGCAAGATCTCTAATCTAGTAATCCATGAAGAATTGTTTAAATAACAGATTCTCTTCAGTAAGAATTTACTTTGCAGTAGGAGAATCTGCTGCATTGTAGACAAAACTAAGAGTAGTATTCAGGCTGTGTGGGATGCTTTCATGGAAATAGGAGTCAGGAAAAGAAATACCAGTCTCGTATGAAAGAGGGGTTTGTTTTCAGCAGGGAGGGAGGTGGTAAGTACGAGTGTCGTGAATGATTGCCAGTCTAGAAGATGTGGTTAAAAGAGTCAGTTTGTTTTATTTCATATCTATGATTGTACGGCTGCACAAGATTTCTTCAAAATTTGCTTTTAAGGGGAAGAATGTTAGAGCAGAAGACTCAGTCCTGCTGTTGTGAGACATTTCTGTTCAAGACCACTGCTTGTATCTTGTAAAGTAAAAGTAGCAATTTTACTACAAATGGGAGCTATTCATGTCTAAGTTTTTGTTGTGCATTTTTTTCCCAGCATCTGAAAGTATCCTGTCATAATTTTATGTGGATTTCAGGTTTAACAAAAGTGAAGCTTTATAAAAGGGTTAAGAGTTTTTGCTTTTTGCATATTACTGATGACCTTCTGATGAAACACAGTGAGGTGTTATTAAACTTGGAAGATATTCCTACAGATAGCAAGAGGGAAGAAAAGCTTTAGCTTTTGTGTCTAGGATAGTATAAAGTAGACTTGCATCTTACTGCCTAGTATTACAAAGCAGGATGATATGCTGTTACCAGCAGTTGCTCAAAAAAAATGACAGGTAGAAAATTATAGCAAAACAGCTTGAAAAGAAAAATACTTCCGTGAATAAAAATATTCTGCATGGTGATTTGGGGCAGAAGAGGGTTGTAGCTGCTTTTAGGTCCATAAGAACTGTCTTGAGAAATACTGCTTCCAGCATGTAAAAATTTAGTGTTTTGTGGAGTGCAGCTTGTCATGGCCTCTCTTTGAAGCATCTGTGCATTTGTTGCTTTTCTCTAAGCACCCAGTATTTACTGGGTAATTAGAGAAATATGCTTTAATTACCCATTTAAGTCTGTTGCACTTGCAGTTAGGTTACTAGGAGCTCAGGAGTGGAGCTGGGAGGGAGGCATAATTTTGGGCATGGAGAGCTTCTCATCCTTCCCTCCACCCGAGGGCATGTGAGAAAGCAAGCTCCATTTTCACCCACTTCTGCAATTGTTATTCTGCCATTTAATAAAGTAGTCTCAGGAAGCTGTTCAGTATCTAAATCTAGATTACAGGATCTCTGCCAAGAGAAAGTTCTGTTGAAGGAAAAGTTGTATAATTAGAACATAAAGCTACCTGTATTGAACAGAGTTCCTTAATCACTAACTGTGGATTTTAAGGATGCTTTTAGTTGGCCATTTAACCTATACAGTTCAGCAGGTAGACTTGCTTGTTTTCCTTTGATCTTAGTAAATCATTTTATCCTACAGTCATCCAAGTTTTCCCAGTGAATCTTGGAAACTTTTTGAAAGTAATACTTAGGGACCTATATAAGTATAGCTATATTCCCTTCTGAAGTGAACACTTGGTTTAAATTTACTGGCCGGTCTCTTTTATATATATGCATAACTGTACAGGAAAGCAGGGTTAGAAGTGCATAGTCAGGGTTTCTGGAATTAGAGAATCTGCAAGTGAAAACTGACACCATAGCATGTTGTCATGCTTAGCAAAATAATGGTTCATAAAATCTTGCTATGAGAGGAAATGTTTACTAATGAACTCGTAGGACTGAAGCCTACTAAAGCCATATTTGCAGAATGGACTAAACTTAGATATTTGGGGTTTTTTGAAAGTTCTTTAATGAAGTTGCCTGTGATTAATCTTCTAGTGGAGAATTTGAAATAAGTATGTACATATTGAAGGTACATGAGCTGTCTCGTGATTGTCATCAGTTGTATTAACATTCCTTAACCTAGACTTTTGAAGCCATATATTTTTTAGATTATGCTTGGGCAGTATATTTGGGGAAAAATCTATAAAATGGTCTTTGTCGAAGAGACTACTCTTAAAGCCTTTTCCTTAAAATACCTGGATCTGGGAGAAGAGATGGATTATGTCTTGCAAACTGTATTCTGCTTTCTTCCCTTATTGAATTAGTGGATTGGTTTCTTTTAAAATATGTGGGCCAGGGAAGTGTTGGGAAGGATGTGCTGCACGACAGCTTTGGAGACTCTGGCTTTTGATGTTAGCTGAGCAGCTCTGCTATTGAAGGCTTTAACAATTTATGGCTTAGGTGAACTCTCCCTACCATCTTCACATTACAGGCTTGAAACTATTTGGTCATTAGAACTCATTGAACTGATATATGCAGATGTTAGCACCTTTCATGGAATCTATCCCACTGGTCTTGTTTACGTTTATGTATACTTCTCGTGTTTGAGTGCTAAGATAAAGCTTAAAAATACTGTTCAAAAATGCGGCTATAACATTCTCTCAGCTTTGTTCAGACATTTAAACAAAAGTTGCTGCTTTATTTCTTGTATTATTTATAATCCTTTTGCAGACAAGCTTTATGCTTTCTAAAATGACATTTCTTTCATTGGCTGAAGTTGGGTCTTAATATTTCCACTCTGTCAGTATGTCAGTCCTGGCTGACAGGCTTCCTGCTATTCATGTCTTATTCTTCTTTTGAGAAGAGACAGCCAGATTGTGTAGTGGTTTTGTAATAGGCACAAACATCCCTTGTAGGCACAAGGATGAGATCACTGCACTCTTTTT